ATCCTGGTGAATACCACGGCCTCCACAACATCGCAGAAGTAATACCTGAAATGGCAGTACTCCTTCAAGCAAGAAGGTATGCAGGGAGAGATCTTGCTTCAGTGGAATATAATACACTGTTTCTGTTTGTTTTTATTTTTCAATTACAGTTGACATTCAATAACAGTGCTCTGTTTAGAGCACAACTTTCCAGTGTACCTGATTCTGATTCTTGTCTTTGAGATCATTATAACTGTAAAGTGTAGATGATTGATAATACAAATAATTCTTGCCTCTGTCCATACTGTCAGGTGAAGTGTTCCTGCTCCCTAAAGGGAAAAAGCCAGTATTATAGCCCTTCGCAAAACAATTTCTGTAATCCTGTTTTTTGGTGGTTTTTTTTTTTTGACTTCTCCTTTGAACAGATTGTAACACCAGTTCTGGTTCCCCTTATTTAATTAACTTGTTAGTTGAATTTTTGGCGTGCTCATTTTATTTTTCAGCTTTACTGAGATACATGATGATAACATGTTTGTTCTGCAGCTGCATGACCGTCATAATTTTACCTTTTTTAAAAACTATATTTCTATTGGGTTCTGGGACAGGGTCCTGGGACAGGAAATGCCAGCCCGCTCATAGGGAAACTGAAGGGGGAAGGGAATACTGACAGAGTTGTGGGTAGAGGTAAGCAGCTAGGGATGGTGAAACACCCCATGTAACAACAGAGGGAAACTGGGGTACCACCTCTAGGGCTCACTGGTCGAAAAGAGGGAGCAGTAGCCACACTTAAGAGGGACACAAGTCATGTCCTGGCAAGAAGGGACAGGGGAGTAAATAACATGATTTTCTTCCCCTCTTGTCCTCTACCTACAGAACAGAAAGCGTCTGTCCACCTGGTACTAGCGGAGCCAAACACTAAGACAGAATAGCAGTGGACACATAGCGGCTATTTTATTATGAATGGTGCTGTCCAGGAGGACAGGAAGCAATGCTCAAAAGCCTGAACGCCCCAATGGCATTTAGGTTATAGATTACATAGCGCAAAGCCACAAGACATTGTGGGTTGGGGGGTTCAGTGTTGTGCTGGGAGCTGATTGGTCTGAGGTGAGGTAAGGATAATGAATCATTTTCAGGTCTTGAGGACAGTTCTGAGGTCCTTTCCAGCCTCCCTCTGTTGGGTCTCAGGGGAAAGTAGCCAGGGGTTCGTTCCAGCTTAGGTCTCAGAAACTGAAACATAACTTAGGTCAAGATGTTTTGTTTAGCCTGCCAGAGGTCTGGGCTACTGTCTGCTGCTGCGTTGGAAGTTACTGATTATCTTGGGTAAAGGCTTGGTCTCTGAGAGAGAGAGAGAGACAGAGAGAGAGAAAGTAATATGATTTAGAGCTAGGATTTAAAACTAAATTTAATCAAAGACATGATGACCCTTGGTTTCACTATGGGCCCCACGAAGCCACAAGGTAGCGGAGACAGGGTGATGCAGTCTGCTTCTTTTCCATTGCTTTTTCCACTCTCCAGTCAAATCAGCTCAACATGAATCAAAAATTCCCAGTGAATGTGGAGGATCTGGTCCAAGTATGCTACATATAAAGATTTTTATTGTCCTAGCAAATCATTATACTTTATATCTGCAGAGTTAAATACAGACTATTAGCCCTTTAATTACATTTATATGAGATTATTCACCCCCCCCCAAAAAAAAAGAGATACCACCCTTTTATTACTTTCTCTATACATCTTATGGTCTTATGTCCATACTGCTCCCTGAGTGTAAGATATTATTTCTGTGATAGACTTAACAACCACCATGTTAACACGTGTCTGAAAAAAATCTAATGCTCTTTCAAGTTTCTAGGCCCTAAGGCTTTGACCAAGAAGCAAAAAAGCTGATGCCATTTTGTATGTGTTCTCATATACTCATTCTTTGTAGATTGGATGGAAGCTTGTGAATATACTTTGGAGAAAAGGAAATACATGTTAAAAAAAACTGCTGGACTCGTTTCTAGGAGAATAATCTTGCTGAAATAAATTTCGAGGTTTCTGCCGGGTCTTTTTTCTTCCATGCAAGTTAATGTTTAGCTGAGCACCTGGACACGCTCAGGTGGAAAGCAAAATTGCTCAGAGCTGTAACAGAGGTTGATGGAGCTGAATAGTACTGTGCTTCATAGTGTGAGAAGAATTTTGAGCTCAGGGAGTGGTCTGGAAGGATGAAGAGAAGAATGGAGAGAGTCAACAGGAAGGCTGGAGTTGCGGAAATGGTTAAGGGACAAATTTAAGGAGGTCTACTATTCAATTTCAAATTATTTCCTCCCAATCCTTTGGTAAAGTTGGCTTCAGGCCAAATATGTGTGAGTGGTTCTGATAAAATCCTAATGAAGAAATAATTTTTAAAAACTGCAGTAATGATAAACAGATGCTATTTATTGAGTAGCTCTAGTATATCCTGGGCCTTGTGCTGACACAGACAGCTGTACCGTCTAGGTCACAGTCACACAGGGAGACAGATGCTATCCCTTTTTAGGTACGGAGACTGAGACTCAGAGAGGTTAAGCAATCCACTCGAGGCCACATAGCCAGTACATCACAGAGCCAGGATCTGAAATTAGAACTCAGGCACATTTGATTACACTGTACTGCTTCCCCATAATCCTCTCTGCACTATCCTTACAAAGCAATTGTCTAGATTCTAATGATAAGTGACAAGAACCCCTACCTCCTCGAAGGCTATCCATTTCCCAGTGCAAAGGCTATAACCATTGAAAGTTTTTCCACGTGTGAGTCAGGCCTATCTCTGTAGCTTCCACCCACAAGTCCTCCATCTGCTGCCTGAACCACTAAGAACAAACCTAATTATTCTTTCACAGAGCAGGCTCTCAATATTCGAAGATACGGTATAAAATTCTACAATTTTGGATTCTATAGTATAGGCTTTCTTAGGGCAGGCATATCTGAAAGGGATCCTATCTGAATTGCATGTGGCTTTATCCCCAACCACGTAGAACATTACTTAGTACATTAGTAGGCATTCAACAAATATTCATAGACTGGATGAAGGCTGGCCAGACTGGGAAAGGACAGAGTATGTTTTGTGGGGCAGCAAACATATAAACATAAAAATAAATAAACCCCTCCCCCTTTGATTATTTTCTCTATACACCATAATCTTATGTTCATACTGCTTCCTCTAAGATATTTTCATCAAAGTCTTAACAACTGCCATGTTATCAGATACCTGAAAGAATGACTACAGGTGCCATTTTCAGAGAATGTGTTAGTTCTGCTTCTACCCCATCCCCTCAACCACCTCCCTTGTTTCTAGGCAAGCTAAACTTGTGGGACTAATACACCCTAAAAAAGACTCTCATCTCATTCTTTATTTATATATATTTATACAAACCAAGATCTGACCAGTATGGAGAAATGAATTGTCATTGTATACCACAAATATTTTATATCTATCTATCTATCTATCTATCTCACAGCAGCCATTCCAGCAACTGCATTGTTTGTCTTATTCCGTCAACCTTTGGAATGTTTGACCTTCCTTCCTTCCTTACTACTGTTCATGCTGTTACAATTGTCCCAACTTCCCCTCCTTTGACAACTCTACCCCAATCACCCTTAAACTGGGCCAGAGCAGCACTGTTTTCCAAACAACTGTTTGTAAAGCTAACAGGAGGGCAGCCTTCCTGAGTACACAGATAATTAAAGCCGTTCTTTAGGCTCAGTAAAGAGCTATGTATGTACAGCTGAAAAATGACTTAGCTCACTGGTACTAGTAGACACTCCTTCTATTCATGTACTTCCCCTTCTTCTTCTCATAAAAACCCCTGGCCTCCACCCCATAATTAGAACACTTTTTGGGTTTCTGCCCAAATCAGGGCTTCCAGAATATTTATTTTTTGTGATCGCAAAGAAACTCTTGCTGCCTCTCACTTTGGCCTTTTATTTTCAGGTTAAAAAAATTATGTGTGTGTGTGTGTGTATGTACACACATACACATATGTGTATAGGCGTATACACGTTACATGTGTATGTAGACACACACGTGTCTGTACACACATAATTTTTATTATATATTAATATATATAAACTTTATGCTCATATAAAGTAATTTCATTGCATCTAAGTCATACTATAAAGCACTAGGGGGAAATATTCGGGGAAGTAGGAGTAGAGAGAAGGGGCAGCAGTGATTTTCTCTGGAGACTATATCCTTTGCAGCTCTGTCTATGAAATTCAACTGACATTAAAAATTGTCTAGTCTTATATTCACTATTTAGAAATATGGAAAGGGTGGAGCGGCCAAACTGTGACCCTAGAATAACAGTTACAGAAATGGGCAGACGGAGTGCAGGGACCCTTTAAATACCTTGCTCACTAATGCCAAAAATGCCTGCAGATAATGCTTCAAGTTGCCTGCCCAAGATCTCTTGAGCCTGCTGTCACTGCTATTATTTAGGGCCACACTCCCCAGTGGTCACCTTTCGTATTCATGTACCACTGCTTGGCAAGGGTCGTCTCCTGAAACTCTCTGGGCCTGTTTCTTCACCTGTAAAGGTGGGGCTTGCATTACAGAGGAGAGTTTCTGGAACGCGCACGCGGCAGGACACCGCGGTGCTGGGAAGCGGAGCGCAGGCCCGTCCTCGAGCCTTCTGGCTGAGGTAGAAGCAGGAAGGTCGGATTCGTCCCAAAAGGGCGTGGGGAGGGGGTGCACCTCACAGCCAGTGCGACTTAGCGGCCCCGGCCCTCGCAGGCTTTTCGGCAGCAAGCGGGGACCGGCCCGGATCTCGGGAGGCGACCTCGCGGCCTGGCCTCCCCGCGCGCCCAGCGGCTTCCAGCCGCTAGACCAGCGTTAGCCCGGCCGTACTTTGGCTCCGCGGCGGCCCCTGCGCGCTCCTCGCCTCCCCCCGTCCCGTCTTGGATCCCGCCCAACCGCGCTGGGAGGCGGGCTCTGGCGAAGGGGGCGGCAGGCGCGCTGGTGACAGTCGCTGACAGATTCCCCGCCCCCGCGGCTCGCCACGTCCCTCACGTACGGCTCAGCCGCGGAGCCGAGAGGCCACCTGGTGCGCGGGGCTCCGGCTCCTCCGGCGGGGCTCGGCATGAGGCTGGCGCGGCTGCTGCGCGGAGCCGCCTCCGTCGGCCCGGGCCCGGGGCCGCGCTCCGCCCGCTGCAGCGCCAGCCGCAGCCTCACCTCGGGCTCGGGCTCCGGCCCGGCGCCCGAACGTGGCGTCCCGGGCCAAGTGGACTTCTACGCGCGCTTCTCGCCGTCGCCGCTCTCCATGAAGCAGTTCCTGGACTTCGGTGAGTGCGGCCCGGGCCTAGGGCCTTTGTGCGCGGCTTCTGTCGCCTCTGCGCCCCGCTCCTCCTCAACGTCCGGCCTCCCCCCGCACACTCCCTGCCCCAGCGCCTTCGGTGTTTCCTTCCTCCCTCGTGGGCTGATCCTGATGTTCAGGTGCGTAACTGGGGGCGTGTGCCTTTTTACTGTGTGTTGTTGAAAAACCTGAAGGGCCGCGAGGGGAACGACTGTCCGCCTAGCAGCGCACGTGCCCAGGTCCACCCTGGTGGCCAGGCCCCTTTCCCAAGACCTGGGCTCCTGGGAGAGAGAGTGTGAGGACACCCCGCACCCCGGGGTCGTGTGCGGTTTCGGCAGACTGGTGATAAATGCTCAGTTTTGTGGGATGATTGCATCAACTTGGCACGACGATACGGGAAGCAGGTTATAACTGGCCCAGTGTTGCAGAGAATGTTTTCTTGTCACTGACTTGAGTGTTTCCACCAATAGCATCTTCATTTTCTCATCAGCAAAATAAGTCTTGAGCACGTGTAAAGTGCAAGAGTAAAAGATGCTGGGGTTTACCACATTTCACACCCGTAGACCGACTGTCCCCTTTCCTCTTTCTCTGATGGGTGCTAACTGGTTTTTTCTGGAAAGGATCTGACATATTCCTGAAGAATTTCAAAGTTAGACTTTTAACTTTGACTTCTCATATGGGGGCGTCGAGAGAGCGGAAAGGGAAAACTAATACACTCTAATGAAGTTACAAAAGTTAAGTAGAAAAACCTCTCTTCTGCATTTTGAGTGCTGTTAGGTCACTAACAGATCACTAGCGGGTTTGAAAGATACAGGCATGGCTGGCAACTTTATCTTAAAATTGTGGTTTATAGTGGCAGTGTTTTCTTTTTTCTTTTCTTTCTTTTATTTTTCCTCAAGTCCTTGGTTTTTGTTTTTACTTTAAAATGACTGTTGCATGATTAAGGGGCGAATCTGGCCTTGCTCACAAGTATGCCATTCACCTTCAAATGTTTTCCTTTAATACTGTAATTTCTGCTGTTGCAATCTAATTTTTGCTAAGGTTATCTCTTGCTGAAACAGAAAGATTAAATTAGTGAGTTTAAAATGCATTGTTGAAATAATCTAATTTTTTAGTTTAACTTTAAATGGAACTGCTTGCCAGAGGATGTTAACTATTCTGCTTAGCATCCTGATACAGAAGTGAAGGAATGGGCAGGCTGCTTTCCAGGAATTAGACAAATGAATAGGACTTGGTGGGGGAGACACTTGGAAGAAGGTTGCTGAATATGCATTGGTATTTTTTGCTTTTTGTTGCCTGAAAGCCCTTCTCTATATTTACTCTTTGGTTATGGTAATTAGTATAGCAGTTCTGTGCATATGACAAAATTTCTGTTTCTTAGGCAGGTATTCACTTCTTACTAACCTAGACTTAGGAACCATGTTCTAAATGGTGGCAGGAACAGTTTATATAGGGTTTGCAGGTCCTGTTAATCAGACTCTTCACTTTGCTCCGACTTGCTCAGATGCCTTAGTTCTGAGGCAGGAGATCACAGTGAGGATGCAAGTAATGGAGACAGGAAGTGTCTTCATTGCTCTACAAAGTGGTTGGAATGTCAGGAATTGGAAGGTTATTCAGGATGCCCTAGGGACTAGGTTATCTCATCCCTTGCCTTCTCTTCTTTACTTACCCTGTAATTGTGGTGATGCTACCCCCCTGATGTGTCTGGCCAAATAACTCCCCCTGCGTGTCTCCCTGTTTCTTGGCTTCTGCTGCCTTATGGCTTCCACTTACTGCTGTTCCCACCGTGTCTGGTTTCAGGTTCTGTGAATGCTTGTGAAAAGACCTCATTTATGTTTCTGCGGCAAGAGTTGCCTGTTAGATTGGCAAATATAATGAAAGAAATAAGTCTCCTTCCAGATAATCTTCTCAGGACGCCATCAGTTCAGTTGGTACAAAGCTGGTAAGATTCCTGTACTTACGGTTTTAATGGACTAAACTCAATGTTAAAGCAAATCCTTTTTTCACTCTTTAGTGAAATCTTAAGGTACTAGCAGCGCTCCAATCCTCCTTTTCTGGGGTGCATCTGGGCTTATCCCTTGAATCCTGGATGCTGCCACTCCTTGGTTTTGAGAAAAACAATCAACTGCACAGAAATGCAGACACTAAGTTTAAGATTTGTGTTATTAAGGCTGTAGGGATGTTATGTTCTAATAATAATAGCTACCATTTGTTGAAATGAGGGGTTTATGTACAGTACCTGTAATTGTTTCCGTAACCCTGCCCGGTGGGCGTTATTATCTCCATGAGGAAACAGGCTCCAACAGGTCAGCTTTTTGCCTAAGTCAGTACCACTTAGATCAGAGCTGGGATTCAAACCCAGATTTTTTTGCTCCTACTAAACCATGCTGCAGTAAGAAAGATGAAATGTATTAAAGGGTGCATATTTTTTATAAACCAAATTTATTTTATTGAAGTATATCTTTATAAGTTACAAAAGGTAAAATATTTATCATTTTAAAACAATTAGAAATTATTGGAATAGTGTAGAAACTGTGATCTCTCTTCCAAAAAATGATAGTAGAGTTATGAAGGGGTGTACATCATATGTGGCTACTTAAATACAGGCTTTCTTGTTAATGTTATTAATTTAATAATGTTACTCTCTTAATCACTATACATTTCAAACACAATAAGCTGCCAGAGTTCAGTCTTTTTTATTGATTGGTTTCATGATTTTAAAGAGAGAGGAGGATGGGGGGGAGGGGGAAAAAAGAGAGAGAGATCTGTTGTTCTACTTATTTATGCATTCATTGGTTAATTCTTGTATGTGCCCTGACCAGGGATCAAACCTGCAACCTTGTCATACCGGGATGTATCAGGATGACCGAGTTCAGTCCTAAAGGAAAAAATTTAGCTGCAAAACCTTTCCTAATTATGATTCATGGAAATCCTTCCTTTCCTTTTGTAGACATTATAGTTTGTTCAAGAAGCTGATTAAATATCCATTTGAAATAATAAGTGAAAGAAGTGACTGCTATATACTGTTGACCCTTGAGCAACATCGGTTTGAACGGTGTGGGTCCACTTGCATGTGGGTTTTTTCCAATAAATACAGTAAATGTGTTTTCTTTATGCTTTTCTTAAAAACATTTTCTTTTCTCTAGCTAACTTTATTGTAAAAATACAGTATATAATACATAAAACATACAAAATATATGTTTGTTGAATATTTATGTTATTGGTAAGGCTTTTGGTTAACAGTAGGCTATTTAGTAGTTAAGTTTTGGGGCAGTCAAAAGTTACATATGGATTTGTGACTGGGGTACAAGGGTCAGGGGTCAACATATGTCTAGATGTGGCCTAACTCCCTAGGTGTTCAAGGGCCAACTTTGTATGATGATAGATGTCATGTAGTCCAAATGTGGAACAATTATAAACATTTAGGAAAAAGACATTTGTTTAGGAACTATGATAGAATATAAAGGAGAACAGAAATTTCTCTGGAAAATTATTCTTTTTCTAAAATTTTTCATTAAAAATAGCATAAGCTGCATTTAAAAATCTGATCTGTGCCTAACACATTCTAAGTATTCAAATCCCTCTTGAATAAAGAGCACAGTTTTTCTTGCCAGTGAAGAGAAAGTTAATGGTTAAAGCAAAACAGTAGATATCAGAATCACTTGACTTTGGAATGTAGAGAGGCAAATTACTTGTCAGCACCAGCATTCCAAATCAACATATGGATTTATGGATTTCTTTAAAAGACTTTCATTGCCCCCAGACACCTACTGACCTTATACTCTTTTTTTTTTTTTTTTTTTTAAATCCTCACCTGAGGATTTATTTATTGATTTTAGGGAGAGAGGAAAGTGGGGTGGGGGGAGAGAGAGAAAGAGAGAGAGAGAGAAACATTGATCATTGCCTCCTGTATGTGCCCTGACCCAGGGACTGAACCAGCAACCTAGGTATGCACCCTGACCTGGCCTGAACCGACAGCATTTTGGTGTAAGGGTTGATGCTCCAACCAACTGAGCCACCCGGTCAGGGTCAGACTTTACACCCTTGAAGGTCATTGAATGGTAGCGAGCTATTTTTAGCTCTGGCTCTGTACTGTCATTGTGCTTGGTGGCATGACCTTGAGAAAGTCATTTGGCTTTCTTTATTTTCCTCCTTCCTTGACAGGTGATTTGTAACCTTGAATTGTTAGATAAATTAAAACCTACATTTTCATGACTTTTGTGTTTTTGTTAGTTCTGTTTAAAAGAACTATATGGTGTAGGCTGTAGGCTTTCCATCAATATTGTTGATTGGACATAAACATCTAAAATTAAGGTTTAAAGTAGAGACATTTAAGTTAGACTCTTAGGCCAAGGTAGCCTGGACCCTACATTTTACTGAGACTAAGACAAATCATTTGCTTACGATCACAGTTACTGGTGACAAACACAGTTCTCACAGCAATCATTGTTTACACTGTAAAGTGTACTGGTAAATTTGAGCAATTTAAAAGCTGTTTTATAGTAGAGAAGTTTAAACAGCTAAAAGAGGCAGTCAATCTCACAATCCTTCAGCCCAATTTAACCTGTGTTTTAGGAGAAAACTTGCACTTTCTACTAGTTTGTGCCAGGAATTTTGCTAACATGTGATTGGGTATAAAAATCCTCCTTCATTCTGGCCAGATGACTCAGTTGTTTGGAGCACCATCCCATACACCAAAAGCCTGCAGGTTTGATTCCGGGTCGGGGCACATACAGGAGACAACCGATCACATCAGTGTTCCCTCATCCCTCCCTCCCTCTTTTCTCTAAAATCAGTAAAAGCATATCCTCAGGTGAGGATTAAAAAAAAAAATCCTACCTCAAACCATAATTTAATTTATAGCGCTATTAAATTAAAAATTACACAATGTTAAAAATACCTTTTGAGTATTTTCACAATATTGAACTCTCAAAACGTAAAAGAACAAATTTATCCTATTCATTTGTATTTTAGGTATATCCAGAGTCTTCAGGAACTTCTTGATTTTAAGGACAAAAGTGCCGAAGATGCTAAAACTATTTATGAGTAAGTATACTATTTTGACATTATTCTGAACATAATATTTGTACCTTTTAAACATCATATAAAAATATAAATGTATTGAGCTTAAACCTGCTATTGGATCACTTTAGGGAAATTGATTTACTTTTAGTTTCCCACTACTCTAGAACACATGGTAGTATGTTTGTTTAAAGTAGCCCACAAGGGCAAAGCAAATAACATAAATCAGTAAATTGTGCTGGGGATAAAAAATACTTCATGTTCCTCTGGACTCCAGTGTAAGAAAAAGACACAGTTCAAGTGTGATGATCAACAAGTGTCTAGCTGTGGCCTTAATGCCGCTTGGGTGCAACATGAGGACTCAGCCTGGAGAGCAGTCTAAAGGCAGCCGATCATTGCCATACTGAAACGCTGCCCATGCCTCCTAAGTTTTTTTGTGTTTAAAGAAAAGCCACGAGTCTAGATTTTTAAAGTAAAGTCTTACAGTTTTGAAAGATTGGCAACTAATTAAAAATTTTAGAAAATACTGAAGGACTACAAAAACATGGCTACGAGTCTCTTGTTTATGACCCGTGGTCTGTAAGATAATGTAACTAATAGGACCACTTTGATAACCAGCATATCAGAACTGATACACCCAGTGAGGCCCCTCAGGGCAGTGACCTCCTTATTCCAGTGAATGTTGCTCAAAAGTGGGAGACCACCTCATTGTTGTCCTCAGTCTTTTATACGTATTTTGACTGTCTTTAGAGGTGATAGCAACACTTCATTTTTTTAAACATGGTTTTGGTCTGAAAATAAACATGAAGATATACTCTGCCTACGTATGCAGCACATTTTACATGAATGATGCCATTTAGTCTTTAAAACAATTACATTGAGATAATGTCTGCACAAAGGAGTTAAGTAACTTAAGGTGTTATAAAGGTCATTGAGCTGGCAAATGGTAGGACAAGGATTTGGACACAAGTAGTCTCAAAAGGAAACATTATGTTACATTTATGTTGTATGGATTATGCTCTCTGACCTTCTTGAAACAGTCATTCGGTGCAGCCAAGTATAATAATATTGTTCTATGTTTTTTAAAAAAGAGAGAAAGGTGAAATAAACTAATAAGGGGATGACTAGAAATGATGAGATGTTTGTTGTTTTTGAGGAGTTTTATTGTTTGTATTTTGGATTAACAGCTTGGTTTTGAAGCTAATTACAAACTAGGAATTTAAAAAATGTTTAGAGCAGTGAGAGCATCATTGGAATAAGTTAATAGTACTCAAGATGATGACTTTGAATGGGAAAGCACTCATTCGAAAGTGTAAATTCTGATGGGTATGCTACAAAATGGATTTTGTTGCTTCATGATTAAAATTTATTTTCTCTTTTACTTAGTTCTTTTAAATTACCCATGCAAGACTGTCTTCCAATCTAAATGACAGAAATGGGAAGGCCAGATGATTTGAAAATTTTTCTTTTCACACAACAATTGATTTTTCGTCTCCTATTTTTAAACTTACAGGATGAATGAAATTAGAATTCTTTCCTACTTTTCTGCTCTAAGTGGTTCTTTCTCTCTTTGAAGCCTAGGCAATAGTTCCAAAGCAGACAGGCTTTACTGGCTCATTCATCTTCATTCCTTACAGAGCATGTGTTCCCTAGAAGCAAGTGCTCTGTCTTCTCTTATACCAAATGTCCCTGGGTCTCACCCTCATAGTGAGTGCTCAGATGATCTCAGTTGATAATGGTTAAAGAAAACGATAACATTTTTAGGATTATGCTTTGTTGCAGCCTTATTTTTTAGACTTCTAAGAACATAATTACATTTCAAATGTTTTATTTTGGAAGTCCTTACACCTTCACAGATTCAGTATATTTCATGATCTGAAGTATATTTACATAAGTGTAGGAAAACGTGTACTGAGGCTCCTTTGGCTGAATTAGGGATTTCTTGCCTCGTGTAGCTGGTTAAACTTAGATTTTAGTATTAAGTTACCTTGTCAAAATATTGGTCTGTTTTGAGAGACAGGTTTGTTTAGCTTTACAGATACCGTGATACGGATCAGGAACCGACACAATGACGTTATTCCCACGATGGCTCAGGGCGTGATTGAATACAAGGAGAGCTTCGGGGTGGATCCCGTCACCAGCCAGAATGTTCAGTACTTTTTGGATCGCTTCTTCATGAGTCGAATTTCAATTAGAATGTTACTCAATCAGCACTGTAAGTGTCTGAGAAGTCAAGAAAAGAAGCTAAATAAAGGGTGTCAGTATATTTTAAATTTATTTAGAAAACTTCCCTTTAAGAAGAATGTTTAATTTTACTTTTTTTTGCATATTAAGAAACTTTAATAGAGTACCATACCAAGTAGGTATTTTTAATGAATGTAAAATACTGTGTTTATGTTTAAGAAGAATGTTCTATTGTTTGAAAAACGGTTTTCGAATCTGGAAAAGGGCATTGGATATTTTAGCTTACTTTGTTTGTCTTTCATATTTTATTTCTTGATAGCTTTATTGTTTGGTGGAAAAGACAAAGGAAGCCCGTCTCATCGAAAACACATTGGAAGCATAAACCCAAACTGCAATGTAGTTGAAGTTATTCAAGGTAAATACTTATATTTCTCCTTTCAGAAAGAATGTGGAAATCGAAATTGTTGAATGTTAGTTCTTTCTATTAAAACAACTATTTATATCATGAGATAAAAACGTTAGGAGTGACTATATGGGTTTGCAAACCACTTTACAATGTTAATCATGTCTTATGCATAGGATGAATATTTCTTGATACAATGCTTTGTTAGGCAAAATAGAGTGCCACTATGAGGGTATCTGTTTCACTTCAAAAATTTAATGCCCTTCCCTTCTCTTTTCTAATTTCCTATACTAGGAGCCATAATTCATAATGGTTTGGTTTGCATCTTTCCACACTTTTTTCTGTTTATCCCACATAAACTCATATACATACATGATTGTTGGTCGTACGTTGTTGTTTTTAGAAAATGGGGCTCTCTATGTATATTTTTCTACAAGTTTACAGACAATGTATCATGGTCTGTAGGTATGGCTATACCCCAGGTTTCTGAATGGCTGGATTGATACATTAGAATCTATCAGTCCATCCTCCTTTTGATGCACATATAGTTTATTTTCATTTTTTTTCTGTTACCAACAATATTGCAGTGAACGTCTTTAGATATGTGCTGACTTTTGCTAGTATTTTAGAAAGGAAGAGTCCTAGAACTAAAAACATTTAAAGTGCATTTACAATTTTGATAGCCATACTTACCTGGCATGGGAGGTACCATGATCATAAAATTTTAGTAGCCCCCATAAGGCATCAAACAATGAATGAAAGTGTCTATTTCTTAAACCCTCACCAACTCTAAATGTTTGTTATATATATTGTAAATAATTTCTTCAGTCTGCTGTTTTTCTTTTACTTTGTTTATGTTTTTTTTGTGTGTGTGTGTATATTGTACCTGTAATTTTTCCTTTATGGCTATTAGGCTTTGTCTCGTCATATTTAAAAAGATCTTCCCCAAACTAAGATTTTTAAAGTATATTTACTTCTATAGAAAGCTTTAAAATTTCATCCATCAATATTTTTGCTATCTTAATGCATGAAACAGATGTAAATTTATTTAATGATTTTTGTTTGTTTTTATTTATACCAGATGGCTATGAAAATGCTAGGCGTCTTTGTGATTTGTATTATATTAACTCTCCTGAACTAGAGCTTGAAGAACTAAATGGTAAGCCTGATGTTGTCTTTTCCTCAATGACCAGTGTTATAATTACTTAAAAAGGAATGAGAAGAATAATTTAGATTTATTTTAATATAAAAGGACTTCTTCATTGGCTGTGAAAGGTGAGGGAGAGCAGTCCCTTTAAAAAATATTTTTTTAATGTTTATGTATGTAGTTAATGTAGTTGGATTCTTTCTGAAAGACATTTTGTTTTTTTCTTTCCCATTTAAAAAAATTTTTAATTGATAAAGTTGATGATAATAATGATTCTTTGCTTATCTTTGGTTTTCTGGTTAGAAAAAAAAAAAATAGAACAAAGTAATGCCAAGAAAATTACATTTGACTTTCATATACTCTTCAGTAATGTAAGGTTTACCCTTGAAGATTCTTACTTCCTGAGTTGTAAATCATTTTTTGCTGTTGAGGAAGTAAAAAGACTAGAGGTATAAAAGGAAAGAAAGGCACTGATTTATTTGAGAATCTGTTTATCTCTGATGGTCCTTTTTTCTGATTTAATGCCTTTTGGACAAAAAAAATGGTTTAGGTGCCTTAGAAGGAGATTTATGAGTCTCATTGTTTTTCCTAGAGGTAGTGTAGTTTAGAAGAGGGAAAAACATTTCCTAAGTTAATGTCACCCTTTAAGAAGAATAAAATTAAACAGGCCTTGATTAAGTTGTATTCTGGACAGCAGTGAAGAAACCACCCAATTTAAAATAGAATTGATTGGTGGTTTTCTAAAACCATCTTAATGCATTTGGTCCATAATGATGCCATTCAGTAAATAAGAATCACAGTGCACAAGTGGTAGTTTGGGAACCTGAACTACTGTGGGCAGTTTCGATAAGTCCCATCCATGTTTCCAAGAAATATTTTATTCTGAGGAGAATCCAGCTTGTTGGCTGCATTAGAGTTCTAGGGTATAGTGAGTCTTACTCCTTTACTTTCCTGAAGGTTCTGTTTTACACAGTATCTGCCCACCAGGCCCACCTGGGCACCTATTAAATGGTTGAATGTAAAATTACATCTCTTGATAAACTGATACTAGCTTAATTTTTTTCTTCAGATCTATATCCATGGAAATGCCTGAAATAAAACAGAAAACCTTCTACCTGGGTGAAACATTTTTAAAAAATGGCTTAAAAAAAAGAATATATTTATGTGAGTTGAACCATAGAAATTATAGACTGTAATACTTCTTTTTGGAGAGTAAAATTCTGACCTTAAGGTTGAGTGCCCTTTAAAAAGACTCACTGTCATAGAGAAGAATGGGAAGATGGGTTGGTTAAAATGTTACTAAGGACTCATGTTGTCACCGGCAGGTATTAATGTAGGTGAGCATGGGGTTCAAACACTTATGCATTGAAGAACTGGTGGGACATTTCTCCCCGAAATGATACTGTTCTCCACAGTAAATGTTTTCTTTTCATCACTACACAATATAGTCTTTAAAATGCTTTAAGCACATCTCTCTGTACTTTTATATTTTTCTCTTCTGCTCTGTAGCAAAATCACCAGGACAGCCAATACAAGTGGTTTATGTACCATCCCATCTCTATCACATGGTGTTTGAACTTTTCAAGGTTTGTAAAATAGTATTACATAACCTTTATCGGTCCTTTCCTGAGGTTCGGAGTCTGCTCTGAAAGTTAAATACTCTACCGGGTCTTCCTCAGTTTCATTACAAGATGTCGTGTCACGTTCAGTGTCCTGTCACATTCCTGGAGATCAGCCTTTTGTCAACACTGACGGGCACCTCAGTGTGGTGGTAAACTCAGACTTGGGAGTCAGAAAGACCTGGGCTTGAATTCCAGTTCTGCCACTTAATTATGTGTGTGACCTTCGCCAAGTCACTCAGCCTTTTTGAGCCTCAGTTTCCTCTTCTGGAAAACACAAAAAGGATAATACTATCCAGGTTGTTATGAAGATTGGGGATAACATACTAAATGTTCAATACAATGTCAGCACATGACAGATGCTCAATAAAGTTATATTTTTACAAAACAAACTATTTAGAAGAATGATTCTTAACCTTGCACCCTTAAAGGAATGGAGTCCTACTGGTGTATGATTTTTTAAAAAAGTTTTTAGAAAGTCATTTATATTAACTTATAGGGCTTTTCCTGTTATATTTGCTCTTTACAACAAATTTTGAAAATTAAATCAAATTTGTGCTAGTAATGTTGAGAATACTTCCCCCCTCCCACCCCCCCACCCCTGCCCCTGTAACACTTGCTGGTAGACAGGAAAGTGGGTGATAAATGGTATGGGTCCCTGTGGCTAAAAATGACATGTTAAGTCAAGCCTGTAGTCTCTCTCTCTCTTACTTTAGTTACCTTGTCTTCAGCCAGCCAGACGAGAAGAGAGAAGAGGTGGCTTTCAGCCTAGTAATGAAAAAGAAAAATATACTGAAACAGAGAAAGACTGACTGAATAATGTCTTAGAACGGCAAGGGTTCAAGAATGATCTTTTGTTCTAAGACAGCCAAAAAAACTATCTAATCGTTCCAGAAATCTTTCAAAGTGATTAAATAAATGATTGGTACTTAAAGGATTAAAAGTAATTTTTTCCTTGAAATTTCAGTCACATAAAGATCTTGTTCCCGTGATGCTTAATAAAAGAAATACTACCATATTATATAACATCAGTAATAATGGCTTCCCTATGGAACCTAATCTTAAACAGCCTTTGGTAGAGATGATAGAATCTCCTCCTCAGGGACACTCAGCCCTGATTGGTGTGCCAAGGTCACACTTATTTGCAAATTCAGTCCCATCTTTTGCCTTTTTAACTTTATCTAGTCGTATCAAGTTCCACTCTAGTGCTTGCTACATGTCATGCTATCATTTAGTGCTTATGATTATGTTGGCAATGTGTACCCTGTATCCTTTAGAAACTGATGAAAACAGTTTTGCAATATCAGTATGCTTGGTTTCAAACTAGTGGTAAATTGGATTAGTTTCTACATCATAATAGGACCATTTCTGTTATCTGTTAAATTGTAAAAGCATTTGGATAGAATTTTCTGCTTTAATGTAAACGAATTAAAAGCGTTGAGACATCTGGTTTTGCAAATATGCAGAATTTAGTTGGAATCTTTAAATCAAAATATCTCACAAGTCCTTCAAAACTGATCATTTTTTAAAAAAGGTAATTCTTTAAATACGGTTATAAGATTATGATTCTTTGGCATATTTCCATCAAATTAAAAATTTCAAGTAGTGCATCTATAGTTGAAAGTTACAATTAGTCTCTCTTTCTTTTTCAAGTTGTGTTTGTAATGTGAACCTAATGTATTTCAGAATGCAATGAGAGCAACCATGGAATACCATGCTGTCAAAGGTGTTTACCCACCTATTCAAGTCCATGTCACACTGGGTAATGAGGATTTGACTTTGAAGGTAAATGCTTTTTCTATTTCTTTTTTAATTGATGTACAGGCATGCACACAATTTCTACAAGATATAATTTTTCTTAGGAGAAAGAGACCCTGTCCCCCTACTAGCTAATAAGGATATTCCTTCACTTCTCTGGCAGATTATGCAATTATCCCTTGAATTTGTTTCTATTCTGGTGCCTAATTCAAATGACTCAAGTTAAAGTAAATCCTGGAGGATTTAGCAGGATTATGAATAGCCACTTTGATACCCACTTTGATGCGTAAAATTTAAAATATTTGGGTATTTACAGTGTTACGTAGATAGTACATAATTTTTCATTTTTAAACAGTGCTTTTCAGTCTACTATTTTTTTCCTTAAAGATTTTATTTACTTTTTAGAGAGAGGTGAAGAGATGGAGAAAGAGAAACATTCAGTCTACTTTTATTTTAATTATTTCATTGGCTTCTCAAAATGACTCTTTAGTTAGGAGCACAGGTAATTTTATTTTAAATTTTGCAGATAACGAACGAAGACAGTGATTAGGTGGTGATTACACAGTGAATAAATGACACAGGATTTAAATTAAGGTCCTCTGACCCCAGTGCGAGGCCTTTTCCACTATGTTGTTCAGGGAGCCCACTTTCTTAGAGGATGATGATATTTCTATTTTTAAAATAATCATTTAAAACTTTGTTTTAAAGTAGTAAATACAGGGGGTATAAAACTTAAATATGTCAGTTCCTGACCATTTGTTAGTCACTACTCAAAGGCAGTCTTTTAGTTATTTCTTCTGGGATGTATCGCTATGTTTTAATGTTGTATTTTGATAGTGCAGTTTCTGAAATTTAAAAAATTTAGACAGCAATATTAGCTTTCTGTCATGGTAGCTGAGGAATTAGCTCTGAGAGTACCTCCCCTCCCTTACCCAGCCATTTTCTCAAGTTAAGTTCATATGTGGAGTTCTAGGTTGAAAATAATAATTTGAAGATTTTGAAGGCATCTATTATTCCTTTTTTCTTTAAGTTCATATAATTCAGTGGTTTTTCGTATATTCACAAGGTTGTGCAATTATATCACTGTCTAAAATCGGAACATTTTCATCACTCCCAGGAAAAACACAATGCCCGTTTAGTGGTTACTCCGCATTTCCACCTCTTCCCAGTCCTTGGCAATCAGTAATCTACTTTCTGTGTACGGATCTCCCTATTCTGCACATTTCATAAAAATGCAGTCACACAGTATGTGGTCCTCTGTGACTGACTGCTTTATTTCTGTTATGGATGAATAATACTCTGTTGTGTAGGTATAACACATTTCGTTTATCCATTGATGAAGTTGACGGACATCTGGGCTGTTTTCCTTTTTTTGGTTATTATGAATTAATGCTGCCACTCATGTAGAAGTCTTTGTGTGAACATGGGTTTTCAATTCTCTTACTTTATACCTGTGACTTGAATTGCTTTTAGGTAACTCTGTGTTTAACTTTTAAGGAACTGCCATATTGTTTCCAAAGTAACTATCATTTTACATTCGCACCAACAATGTATGAAGGTTCCAGTTTTCCCACATGGTTGCCTACACTTGCTATTGTCAGTTTTTTTTATTATAGCCATTTTAATGGGTGTGAGCAGTATCTCATTGTGGTTTTGATTTGCATTTCCCTAATGATTGATGATGTCAAGCATCTTTTCATGCGCTAACTTTTTTGTATAAAGAAATATCAATTAAGATCCTTTGCTCAGTTTTTAAGTGGTTTGTCTTTTTATTGTTGAGTTATGAGAATTCACACTCTTTATTTTCTAATGTAAACACACTAGTCCCTGATGAGCCATATGATTTGCAAATGCTTTCCTGTTCTGTGGCTTTTCACTTCCTTGATAATATCCTTTGAAACACAAAAGTTTTTCACTTTGAGGAATTCCAATTTTTCTAATCTTTCTTTTATTGCTTGTGCTTTCAGTGTCACATCTAAGTAACCATTGCCCAATCCAGTGTCACCAAAATTTACACCTGTCTTTCTTCCTAAGAGTTTTATTGTTTCAGTTCTTACATTTAGGCCTTTGATCCATATTGAGTTAATTTTTATAAGTGGTTTGAGGTAGGAAACTAATTTCTTTCTTTTGCAAATAGATATCCAGTTGTCCCAGTACTATTTGTGAAAATGCCATTCTTTCTTCATTGACTTTTCTTGTCACTTTTGCCAAAAATCAATTGCTCATAAATGTATCGGTTTACTTCTGATTTCTCATTCTATTCCAGTAGTCTATGTTTATGTCTGTCCTTGTACTTGTCTTGATTATTATAGCTCTGTTGTAAATTTTGAAATAGGCAATTGTGTGTTCTCCAACCTTTTTTATTTCTACTTCAAGATTGCTTTAGCTGTTGTGGGTTCCATGTATTTTTATAAGAATTTTAATATTAGCTTCTCAGTTTCTGCAAAAAATACCAGCTTTAGTTTTGACGGGGTTTGTGTTCAATGTATAGGTCAATTAAGTCTTCTAATTCCTGAACACAGGCTCTTCTTACTTATTTAGTCTTTTTTAATTTCTTTTAACATTTTATAATTTTTAGTGTGTAACTCTTGCACTTCTTTCGTTAAATTTTTTCTTAAGTATGTTATCTTTTGGGGGCTATCGTAAATGGAATGTTTATTTTTAAATTTCACTTTGGATTGTTCATTGCCAGTGCATAGACATATAACTGATTTTTGTGTTCTGATCTTGTGTCTTACAACTTTGCTGAACTCCATTATGAGTTCTAATTTTTTTGTGGATTCCTTAGGATTTTCTATATACAAGATCATGTTGTCTACAAATAGAGATAATTTTACTTCCTCCTTTTCTGTGTGGAATTTTTCCCCTTGCTTAATTGGTGTAGCTAAAACCTATAGTACAGTGCTGAATAGAAGTAATGACAGGAGACAGCCTGTCTTTTTCCTGATTTGGGAAAAGCTTTCAGTCTTTCACAGTTAAGTATATTAGCTATGGGTTTTTTGTAAATATCATTTATTAGGTTGATAAATTTCACTTTTATCCCTGGTTGGTTGAGTGTTTTTATCATGAAAGGATTTGGATTATGTCAGATGGCTTTTTCTGTATTAATTGAGATAATCATGAGGTTTTTGTTTTTTATTCTGTCACTTGGTGTATTAAAATTGATTGATTTTTGTATGTTGAACCAACCTTGCATTGTTGGAATGTCTACTTTTTAGGGTCTTTTTTTGTTTGTTTTTTGAGTATTTTGTATTAATATTCTTAAGGGATGTTTATTGGTTTGTAGGTTTCTTGTGATGTCTTTGTCTGATTTTGGTATCAGGGTACTACTAACCTTCTAGAATACACTGGGAAGTGTACCCTCCTTTTCTGTATTTTAGAAGTTGAGAAGGATTGGTTTTGATTCTTTTTAAAAGTATTTGGTGGAATCCACCATTGAAGCCATCTGAGTCTGAGTTGTTGTTGTGAGATTTTTGATTATTCGTTCAGTCTCTTTGTTCGTTGTAAATCTATTCAGGTTTTCTATTTTTCACTGAGATAGTTTCTGTAGTTTGTCTAAGAATTTGTCCATTTCACCTGGGTTATCTAGTTTGTTGGCATATAATTGTTCATAGTATTGCCTTGTAATCTTATTTGTTTTTGTAAGATTGGGAGTAATGTCCCTAGTTTCATTCCTGATTTTATTAATTTGAGTTTCCTACCGTTCTGGGGGGGGTCCAGGGTCAGTCTAGCTAAAAGTTGTCAATTTTGTTCATCTTCTCAAAAAACCAACTCTTTGTTTTGATGATTTTTCTCCATTGTTTTCAATTCTTTATTTCATTAATTTCCACTTTAATCTTTATTTCTCTCCTTTCGCTTACTTTGGAGTTAGTTTGCTCTTTTTTTAGTTTTTTAGGATGGAAGTTTAGGTTATTGATTTGAAACATTTTATAGCTAAAAATTTCCCTCTTGGCTCTGCTTTTTCTGTATCCCATAAGTTTTTACATTGTGTTTTCATTTTTATTCATCTCAAAGTACCTTCTAATTTCCTTTGTGATTCCGTCTTTGACCCTTTGGTTATTTAGGAGTATGTTGTTTAATTTGTATATACTTGTAATTTCCCACATTTTGTCCTGTTATTGATTTCTAATTTCATTCCATTGTAGCGAGAAGTATAGTTTGTATGATTTTAATCCTTTTACATATATTGAGACTCATTTTATGGCCCAGGATTTGGCATATCCTGGAGAATGTTCCCTGTGCACTTGAAAAAAATGTATATTCTTATGTTCTTGCACTGAGTGTTCTATAAATAGTTGTTAGATCTTGGTTTATAGTGTTGTTTAAATATTCTATTTCCCTGTTAAGTCTAGTTGTCATAGGCATTATTGAAAGTAGAGCATTGAAGTTTCCGACTATTATTTTGTGTATTTCTCCCTTCAGTCCTGTCAGTTTTTGCTTTGTATATTTTGGAGCTCTGTTAAATGTATATATCTTTATAATTTTGTGTCTTCTTGATGTATTGACCTTTTGTTATTGTAAATGTCCTTCTTTGTCACTAATAACAATTTTTGTCTTAAAATATGTTTTCTCTGATATTCGTATATCCATCCCAGCTGTCTTTTGGTTTCTGTTTTCATGGTGTATCTTTTTTTTGAGCTTTTATTTTCAACCTGTTTGTGTCTTTGAATCTAAAGTATGTCTTGTGTAGACAGCAAATGGTTAGATGATGTTTTTTTGATCCATCCTGCCAATGTCCACCTTTTAATTGGAGTTATATTTAATGTAATAACTGTTAGTGTGGGATTTGCTTGCCATTTTGTCATATGTAGTCTATGTATCTTATGTCTCTCTTGATTCTTTATTTCTCCATTACTGGTGCCTTTTTTTGTTGAAATAATATTTTCTAATGTACCATTTTAATTTTCTTCTTGTTTCTTTTACTGTATTTATTTGAGTTATTTTCTTAGTTTTTGTCCTGGGATTATAAGTAACATCTTTATTTATACAGATCTAGTTCAGACTAATATGAACTTAATTTCAATAGT